GGTGCCCAGGCACAGCTCCCCAGGATGCTCCCTTCAGCCCAGGGCCGCAAGTGGGAGAGAGGGATGGGTCTCCTGCTAGACCTCAGTCAGGGTCCCACCACTACCACCGTGTCCCCAGCCCAAAACCCTTTTCGAGGCCTCTCAAGCACAGGGAGAAGCAGCACTGTCCCCTGTATCTCAAAATCCCACAGCAACTAAAGCAAACTCCCTAAAAGCCATAAAACTCCCAGCCTCGTGGCACGGGCCACCATCTCCTGCACGTATTTGCTGACAGTGAGGCAAGTAGAGCAGGAGGAACACCAGGCTAGCTCGTGAACACCCCACAGAAAGAGTATGGGTGGGCCTAGGCATCTTCTGGGAAGGCACGTGGTCCAAAAAGAGGAGTGGGGTTAATTCCATAACTCAAGACCTCCAAGATGGGGCTGTGACCTCCCACCACCAAGCCTCCAGCACATCTCCAAATGGAAAGGAAACTCAGACCTGGCTATGGGGTGTCAGATCACCAGTGCCGACAGAGACGCAGCCAGGGCAAGCAGGGAGGCAGCAACAAGGCAGCAGAAAGCCCTCGAACCTGGGGCTCACACCAATGCTGGGGACACCACAACCTCCAGCCTAGGAGAGGGCACCACCACTCCCAACCATCCTGAGGATCTTATCGGATACAAATGATGCTCAGCCCAAATCTCAGCCTGCCTCTGGCTCCAAAAGCAGTTCTGCTGCATGCACATGCATCCATCTGTCCGGGGCCGCCCACATGCCTGTGCACTTTTGTATCCCCAGCGCAATAATAAAAATCTGAAACCGATACAGCCTCCCAGGCTCAAAGCCCTGCTGGGGAGGATGGCTATATCCAGAGATTACAGCTTTACAAGGCCAGGCCCTCTATAGTCTGGGATTAGCTGCTGTAACCCGAGCTCTGATTCCCACCCAGATTAGCTGGGAGGTGTGTGGGGGGAACCCACCAGACAAACTCAATAAAGCCACTCTGTGCTCCTAAGAAAAATAACTTTAGCGCTCTCTGCAGACAGCACAATATCTTAAAAACTTGTGAAAGCAGCTGGAACTGCATTTGGTGTCCCGTTGCACTGCAAAGCTCATGCAGGCCATCACTCCTTCACCCGGCAGGCACGTGTGCTCTGGCCAGCCCCTGCTAGTTCGCAGGATTTACAGCACGAAGGAAAGGAGATGCACCCAAAAACCTTACTCCAGACACCCAGAGATGTCCCTGGAGTCCTTGCGGCAGGATTGTACCCTTCCCATCCCACCTCCCACCCAGGACCTGCTGCGGTCTGTGAAAAAGCAAACAGGCACGAGCATCCCTGCCTAGGAGGGCAGCCTGGTACCCAGTAGCAGCATTTGAGCCCTCAACGCTTTTGGAAATTTCTCAGCAACTCCTTCTTCCACCCAGAGAGCACCTTGCAGCCCGGTCCCGCCTGCACTCAGACCTGCCTCCAGGCAGCTCAGGGGTGCGGGCAAACTGGGCTTTGCCCTTCTCGAGTGGAGAAAGAAATGAGCTATGCCAAGAAAAGCCAAGACAGCTGGTTGGGTTGTCACCTACACACCTTCACCTTTCCCGTGTCAGAGGACCAGCCCGGTTCTCCAGCACGGGGAGGTGGACAGCACGGCCCCTTCCAGGCTGTTTGGTCACCGCAGAAGGACACTCACGCCCTCAAGGGGCTTTACAGGACTGAGTACAGCACATTTAAACTCTCTTCTGCAGTTCTGAGTTAAAAAAAAAAAAAGTAATAATTGGGGAAACAAGTGTCCCGTCCAGCTCTGGATCACAGCTAGGCACGCAGGGGAAAGGAGCACCCCGAAGTGGGCAGCGCTCGGTACCGGGACAGCGGTGGGATGCTACATCGGCCCAAAGCAGGTGACTCCCAAGT